GGGGATTTCTGCCTCCTTCTGCCCCTGTGTTTCCTTCGAGCCTTCGTTCCAGGGTAGCGCAAGGGGGCTTTGTAGAGGGACCATGGTTAGGTCAGAAGGACGTGGGTTGCTTCCTTGAGAAGCGTGTTTGAGCGTTGGTTGTGCATTGCGATGTGTTCTGGAGACGTTTATTTGAACGTGTAGTTGGTTTCGGTCAGTAATTCAGCTATTGCTTACGCAGAAGTTCACCTGGCTGTAAATCACGAGAAGGTTTCCGACTGCTTAGCGTTTGGATTTTGAAACAGACTTTTGAGGGCGGTGGTTGGAGCGAGCACGTGCTTTGATGTACTCTGAGCATATTGTGAGGTGACTGCAACAGTAAGATGAACACATTGGCTAACACTTGGTCTGGTGTTGCTTCCTCCTTGATTAGGTGTTGCTTACATGTGTGTTTTAAAGGAGCTTTCGGTATGAGTATGACGTGGTTTGAGTCACAGGATACGTTATGTTTACCCACATCCAAGGAATTTTGCTGTCTGCTGGCCAACAGACTCCTTAACTGCTTTGCAGCACTAAAAAGAATAAAAAACAGAAACTTTTTTTCCCATCACTAGGGTATTTTTTACCCATCACTAGGGTATTGCAGCTGGTATTAGAGACCTGCTATTGCGCAGAAGAGAGACCCGCTATTCTGCGGAGAGCTCTTTTCTGAGCTCTCTGCTGTGAGTGAAAGAGCAATATACAGGAGAGACAAGAATTGGATACCGGCATGCAGAAAGAGAGGAAGGAGGGAGGCAGTAGTCATTAGAAGATCAAGCATGAGGGCAGCTGAGCAACCAAGCACAACAGGAGGTTAAATGAACAGCAAAAGTTGATGATTTTGATCATCCTTAATTACAAAACTCTTGCAGGTGCAGATTGACAAAAATAAACTGCATGCGTAGAACAGCAGTCTAAGAAAGACTCCCATGAAGTTTTTGCCACAAAATAGTGCCCAATAAGAGTGCAGACTCTGAGAAAAGTAGTGGGATATGCATAAGAGCATTATGCATATCCCTATATATATTATACATATATATATAATACACGTATGTAAAATATCTAGCATTATAAGCTAGAACTCTCAAGGTTTGGCTATGTGAAAATTAATCTTCTTGTTTCTCTGACTTACAGAGCAGGTTAAACTGTGTTTATCTGTTATTTCTCTGCAATTCACCTGGAGTGTTTTAAGAAAAATGTAGTAGACACTAGTCTGAACTTCTAAGCTTAACAGTCCTTATTCTGCAGCTGCGGTGAGGTTGGGAGCTGCAGAATGTGTAGTTAGCCTTTCTTTTTATGAAAGGTGTGGATTTAATTCGGATAACTGACATGAGTGCTGGTATTTTTGTAGTTTGTGAAGTTTATGCATTGACTTCTCTGAGTACGTTTTTTCAACAGGGTTTATTGAAATTGTAACAGGAAATAATTTATATGATTTGGAGTGATGTTGTTGACAAAAGTCAGGTAACCTTTTCTGTGAGAAAGTCTTTAGCAATTAAATGGATTCTGTGCAAGCTCGTAAGAGAATAATATAAAAATGAAGTGCGATTAGGAAGACAAGTGCTTTTCAGCTGTAATATTGAAGGAGAAATGAAGTTGAAACTTAAACTGCCCTCTTCCGTTTTCAAAACTTTTTCATATGTTTGTCCACAGAAACAATACATGGGCTGCATCAGTAGTGAAACAAGTGGGAATTTGTTACAGACCAAGTCTTAGATTTTTAAACATTTTCTTATTTAGTCTTACTTTGTAAAGAGTATTTTTTTTCCCAGAGAAGGGATTTGATAGGTAGGAGTAATGGTACAAATAGAACATGGAATATCCTTTTTTCCTACTTCTAGTGGGAGAGTTGTTTTGGTTGTAGAGTGATGAATCCTGAAACCTATGGAAAGCTGTAACTAGCTTGTGCGTGCTAAGTACAACTTCTGGTCCCCCGCTATGGGTAAGTGCTTAAATCATGACGCTAATCTAATAGGGTATGTTTAAATTCTATTATGAATAAAGCTTGACTCAGCTAGGTGTTGAGCTTGATCTGTAAAGTACCATGACAACTCTCTGTAAGCAGAAGTTTCATACTTTTTACACTTAGCTTGATTTGAGAGGGGGCAGGTTCCTCCTTTTCTAAGCTACTGAAAGACTGTCATGTAAACTTCCTTTGCTTTTTGGTGCCCTCTATTGATTTCTGCTTACTGGAACATCTAAAACTAGGGCTTTTTCTCTCTTGGCAGCAGTGAAATGCTAACAGCAGTAGCTCTTTAAAAATATTCATGAGAGACTCAAAATAATGGGAGGGAAAAGAAAGGAAAAAACCTTACTGTATCTTAAGCTTGTTGCTGATTGCTGTCCAACCAGTTTGTCTAGATAGCATTGGAACTGTTCCTCACTTGGCAGAAAAGTAGTTAGGCAGTATACAGCTGCCTCACCTGGTCTCTTTTACAGGTTTTCCAGCTGCAGAAAGACTGCTGCCTTGGACTTCGTTTATACTTCATTTCCTTGGAAGAATAGAATATCTCCTCATGAAATCAAGGCCCTTCTCTCTTTCATATCTCATCCAGTGTCCCTCATCTTCTACAGTTCCTGATTCTCACTTAGCACTTTTGGGGCTCACTCTCCAAGAACTCTTAGCTTGGTTCACTTGCGGTAACGTTGCTTTTTCTATCTCCCACCGTCACCTTAGATGTCAAAAAGTGCTGTGCTGCTTCACTTAACGGCCACTGCACACACACATCGTTGATTGCTTTCTTTTTAAGGAGCCCTTCCATCTTGATGGGAAGTTATAAGTGATTCAGTCTTGCAGTTTTGTTCCTGTGCCTGAAATCTCTGGGTATCCTTTGTCCTAGGTTAACATGGCAATTGCATGAACTCAGCCCTGTCCTCTCTGCAGAACCTTTTATCTTAGCCAGATAGCTTTAGCAGGTCTGTTTGTATCTGACAGAACTGCCCAAATTTTTCTTTCATGTTGCAGTAAAAATAAATCATGGCAATAAATCATAAAGCTGTAGAATGTGTTTTCATTATTCTTAGTTTATATGCCTTGTGTGGCGTATGCACTTAGCATTTAAAATGTTCAGTTATTACTGAAGGATGACTATCCGGTTTTCTCAAATAGAAACAATAGTAAGAATCTGATTGAGATAGTATATTTTGAATATATAGTGGTCTTGTAACATAAGCCTATGTTCTGGGCTTGAAGATGTGTTTCCATGGATGTTCTGTGGAACAACAAGGGAAATGGAGAGGTTGGATAGTGGTGAAAGAGTAGG